GTAAAGATTTACACCCTCGGAAACCCTATACAGGGTCGCTATGGGTCGGAACCGACTCGATGGCACTTAACAACAACAACAACACAATACATCAGGAGATGACAAAATGGCCACACTTATGTCACTTCAGGAGTCCTGGTGTGGCACTGTGGGTTAATGTGCCAGACTGCAAAGCCATTTGAACTGCAAGGTTGGTGGTTCAAGCTCCCCAGCTGCTCCTCAGAAACCCTATACAGGGTCGCTATGGGTCGGAACTGACTCAACAGCACTTCACAACAACAACAATGTCACCTCAAACCTTATACCTATCCCTTACATCTGCTTCAGCTATCTAAGAGGATGACATCCCCCTCTCCACCTGTGCAGATCAAAACTATTTTCTAGAAAGGCAGCCCTTCACCTTGTGATTTTCCTACCTCTCCTAGTTCCAAATACCACAGTTAACTGCCCGGATGCGTGTAAAATTTGTATACCCCATGTTATAAAAAGATCCTAGTCCATGCCCCTCCTGAATAAAAAACTTTACTGTCCAGCTTGCCACCACTGGTAACAGCTGCTTTATTTTAATCCTTTGTATATAATTACCCTTGTCTGTAGACCATCTCTTTTATTTTGTTTTCTGTAATAAACTGAAGTGTCTTGGATTGGGTCCTGGTTGTTTTCTGGTCTCTTGGCAATTATGTATGCAGAAGGATTTTCCCTTGTGTACCAAACCCCCCATAATTTGAATTGCTGCTTTTCCATTAAATATTTCTTATTTTGGGCATATGGCATACTTTTAATTTTTTTTTTTTTTTTTCTCTCTCCAAAGCAATACATTTCATAAGACATGTTTTGCTCCTGAATGTCTGACACTTTTCAAGTGGCTGTTATGTAGTTCTGGGGTGGTGCTGTAAGGTGAGACCTGTTCTGCTAACCACAAAGTCAGTGGTTCAAGCCCACCTGTTCCTTAGAAATCCTATAAAGGGTGGCTAAGAGTTGTAATCCACTCAACTCAACAACAACAATGGTGGATGATTATATTCAGAAGCTCAACTTCTCATCCCATTTCATGAATTTAAACAATGCTGGTGTGGAACTGTAGGATCAAATCTGGATGGCAAACCACAACATTAGCAGTTCAAACCCACCAGCTGCTCCTCGAAAACCCTATACCAGGTTGCTCTGAGTCTGAAATGACTCTATAGTACTTAATAACAACCATAAATATGAGATTTTCTTTAGTTTTGGCTTTTGTTTTGTGCTTTTAATACATTATTTCTGCATTTGAAAATGTTTTGTATACTTTCTACTGAGAAATGCAATATGAATTTATAAAATGGGTTCTTACATATATACTGACAAATAGCTCACATGTAAAGACCAGTGGAAAATTCCGGGACTTTACTCCCATATGCTTCCCCTCAGCCCAAACGTTTCCCAAAGTGCAACACTACCAATTTTCCTCAGAGCTTAAATTAATTTACTTCTGTGCAATTCTAATTATTTGCAAGAATAGGGGACATTTGGATTCTTCCACATCCTGTGTTTTGTGCTTCTCCCCAAAATTCACCACAGATCTGAATACCATTAGTTTGAAAGTTGTTGTTTTTGTTGTTAAGTGCCATCGAGTCGGTTCCGACCCATAGCGACCCTGTACAGGGTTTCCGAGGGTGTAAATCTTTACAGGAGTAGAAAGCCTCATCTTTCTCCCACGGAGCGGCTGGTAGTTTCGAACAGCTGACCTTAAGGTTCGCAGCCCGATTAGTAACCACTACGCTACCAGAGCTCCCAACAATTGTAATTAACATATTGCCTTTTTCTTCCTATTAGAAAAGACAGGCAACTTTGTTGCCGCTCCTTTCCTGGCCCTCTGCCTATGCTTACTTTACACTCAAAGTCCTGGTGTGGCGCTGTGGTTTAATGCGCTAGACTGCAAAGCTGTTTGAACTGCAAGGTTGGCGGTTCAAGCTCACCAGCTCCTCCTAGGAAACCCTATACAGGGTCGCTATGGGTCGGAACCGACTCGAGGGCACTTAACAACAACAATTATGTGTAAATGAAAGCAATATGCCTGGGTCATGGGTCCTGGGTCCTGTGCCTGAGTCTACAGCCAACATTTCATTGTCAACGCTAATTCTGGCCTAGGCCAATTGCCAAAGGTCTTGGTGGGAACAAATGCAAAATAAAGAGGATCTTGTGAAGTGAAATGAGTGATTTCACAAGAGCTGTGAGAGCAAGTTTTTCCGCTTCAGGCCCTTCCCCCTTCTTTCAATTTCAATTTTAAGCTAACAATCACTGATGCCCCACCCCTCCTGGACTCGTGACTCATAGGCTTGTTGATTCCCCCAGAGCAGGCTGGGCGGGTCAGAGGATTGAGACAGAGCGCGTTCCCCGGGGCGGATATCTGAAAGAGCAGGTACAATGCCCCTGGTCCCCGCGCCTCTGTAACCCTGCTCCCTTTAATTATATTTCTAATCTGAATATCTTTCTCTTCCTCCTCCCTTGCCCCGCCTCCTCTTTAGCTTTGGTCTGCGGATAAAGGTCTGCCGTCTCGGTGTCCTGCCACCTCTGGTGGCGGTGAGAAGGGCTAGGAAGGTGAGCGGTGGGACCGGAGGACTCAGAGCCGAGGCTGTGAGCCTAGGGGAGCGGGGAGCAGCTCGAGGCAGTTGAGCAGTCGGTCGTCCGCCTTTCCTCATCGCGGCAACCAGCCTCTGGTGGTTGCAGAAGTTTCTGGGTCCTGGGCGCGTGTGTTCAGTGGAGATTCGGTGGGATTTTGGCAAACGTGATTCCAACCCCCGGTTGTTGTTGTTAAGTGCCATTGAGTCGGTTCCGACCCATAGCGACCCTATATGGGGCTTACAAGGAGCAACTGGTGAATTTGAACCTCCGACCTTGCAGTTCAAACGGCTTTGCAGTAGCGGCCCTGGATCTAGACTTGTGGTTGACTACTGCATTCTGTGTAAGGGGAACCGCGCTCTCAAAGAAATGACTGCAGTTTGCCTCCTCACCACCTAGCCTTTTCTAAGGTCTCCTCTATGAGGAAGCCCTCTCCAGGGCGAGTGAGATTCCACTGTCTGCTCCTCATGACAGGTCCTGCCTGACTTAGCTCCTCTTGTGTTTCTCACAGGCATTTCTTCTGTGCAGCTCTCCCGGACTCAGACCAGAGCAACGTTTTGGTAAAAATGGCTTTAAAATAACTTCTTTTATAAGTTAAGGGGGAAGGCGGAGACGATTAACGGGAGAACTCTTCTTCCATATTATTAATTGGCACAGTTTTGTTGTTGTTGTTGTTCCACAATGGAGATATGAGATTTAATTGATGGTGTGGCTGCATTGTTGTTGTTGTTAAGTGACTCCGAGTCGGTTCTGACTCATAGCGACCCTGTATAGGATTTCCAAGGAGCAACCTGTGAGCTTAAACTGCCGAGCTTCATGTTCAAACCGACTTTATGGTATAGCTCATTAACCCACAGCGCTACACTATAAAATTAAGGTTTATGTTTAACGACGTACATTTTTTCTTTCACAGTTTGGACTTGTTTACCTTCACTTAGGATCTACAAGTTAAGTTGAACTTATAGTTTGATATCACATATTTGAAGTTAGAGCCACCCAAACAAGTGCAAATGAGTATAATAAACTCATAACGTCAATTTAGGAGCCCCAGTGTGGTGCTGTAGGATAAGCACTAGACCCCAAGATCGGTATGAACCGCAAGGTCAGTGGTTCAGACTCACCAGTTGCTGCTCGGAAACCCTATGCAGGCTCACTATGGGTTGAAACGACTCGACACCACTTGACAACAACAAAAACATAAGAGGCAGTGGTGTTGTAGTGTTTAAGCACTTGTCCGCTAACAAAAAGGCATTTCTTCCAGCAGCAGGTAGTGACAGTCATCTTCCATAAAGACTGTTGCTGTTGTTAGGTGCCCATGAGTCTGCTCTGACTAAAAGCGACCTTATGTACAACTGAAGGAAACATTGCATAGTCCAGTCCCCTCCTCACAGTTGTTCCTCATGAGCCCATGCTGCTACCACTGTGCCAATCTATCTTGTTTGTTGTTGTTGTTGTTGTTTGTCCTGGAGTTGGTTCTGACTCATCACGACCCTGTACAGGGTTTCCGAGGCTGTAAATCTTTATGGGAGCAGAAAGCCTCATCTTTCTCCCAC